GTTACAGTAGAGGTTTTTTTAGTTTTTTCTGCCAAAGATCAATATTCATTGTTTTATTTCCCTGACTACTGATAAAGTTAAGTATTTTTCTTAAGTCTGTTGGCCAACTAATTTGCTCTTCTGCAAACCTCTTGTCACATATCTTTCCCATTTTTCTATTAAAATGCCAATTTTTTTTTCTTTTTAGGGTATGAAGTCTTGATACAATTCCTCACTCAGAAATTGTATATGTGGTCTCCTATATTTCTTTGCAAGATGGTCGTTGCTTAATTTCTAACATTTAAGTCTTTTATACTTTCAGGATTCATTTTATTATCTTCCAAATGAATATCCAGTTGGGCTAGCTCTATTTATTAAATAATCCACCCTTCTCATTCTAAGGAGAACTATATGACCATATAATAAATGTTTATATACACTGAAATAATCTTCTGGGTTTTCAACTGTGGTCTCTTTGTCCATCACTTATCAATTTGACATTGATCTAATTATACAGCACGTTCTGATATTCCCTCATGAAAAGGCCCTTCTTGACGTCTTCCTCATCTCTGTTAAGTACTAGTACATTTTGGCTCAGGCCAAAAAACCGTGAAGCCATTCTGACTCTGGCCTTTCTTTTATACATTATATGTATCTGTTAGCAATTCCGATCATCTCTTCAAATAAAATTTATCTAGACTTTGACCACTTTTCTTCAGCCCTATAGCTGCCATCCAGGTCCAAGATATCATCATTCTTCTATGAGTTATCATAATGGTCTTCTAACTAGTGGACCTACTTCTGCCCTAACTCTCCAAGAAGTCTATTCTCAACAAACCAGCAGAGTCATATTGTTAACAGGTTGATCACATGATGTCACACACCTCTGCTTAAAACTCTCCAATGGCCTCCCATCTCAGGATAAAACCCAAAGTTTTTACTATGACCTGACAGTCTTAAATGATCTCACTACAGCCCTCTGTCCAACTTCTGACCTCATCTACTCCTCTGCCCTGTCCTCTCTCTTCCAGCCATGACAGCCTTCCTGCTGTTTCTCCTACCTTAGAACCTTTGCATTTGTTTGATGGAGAATGGAATGCTTTTCTGCCAACTCTTCACTGGTAGACATTTTCTCAGTAACACTCTCTGGCTATCCAATCTAAGATTTCAACATTTCATGTAAAAATTTTATAACTCCTTCACTGCTTTTTTTTTTTTTCTCCTTAGTACTTACCACTATCTATCTTATGTATTTTACTTATTTTTATATTTTACTTATGGTTTTATCTACTTATGTAAACTATTATTTACTATTTATGTATTTTACTTATCTTCACTGTCAAACTCACTTATTAGAATATTAACTTCATGAGAAATAGTTCAAAAAATAAAATATTCCAATCATACACAAATTCTTCAGAGAACAGAATAAAAAGGAAATGTCCCTAACTCATTTTACCAGGCCGGCACAACAAGGATGTTATGAGAAAAAAAAAAAGTACAAGTAAATCTCACTCATGCATAGAAATGGAAAAATCCCAAAGAAAATATTAAAGAAGTCAACATATATATAAAAGTCAAGTTTACTCTAGAAATATAAAGCTGGTATAACATAGGGAAATTAATCAATATATTATAATTTTCTGTATTAAAATAAATGAGGAATATTGAAAGATTACCTCAATAGATGCAGGAAGTGTTGATGAAACTTTTTTTTTAAACACATCATGGTAAAAATATTTAGCATACTATAAAAAAATTCTCAGTCACACTTAATGGTGAATGCAGAGAGCTTTCCATTTGATATCTTTACGATATTGATTCTTCTAATCCATAAACATTAAGCATTTCTTCACTTATTCAGGCCTTCTTTAACGTCTTTAAGTAAAGTTTTGTCTAATATCCTTAAATAAATGTTTCCTCTTAGAAGTCTTGTACTTTTTTTCATTCTGGGAGTAGCAATGACAGTGAGCAACCTTTCTTCATTTCCAATATGTATATGATTCCATTTATACAACATACAAAACAGATAAAACTATATGTATGGGGGTACAAACGAATGGTACAAAATGAAAAAGAAAAGCTAGGCAGTTGTTACTATAAAGGTGAGTACAGCGGGACCCTCTAAAGGAATAGTGAGCCGCAGGGTCACTCAGTCTACGCTTGACAGAGCGGTAGTTAAATGACTGTTTGCTTTGTAACTGTTTGTTTCACTGCATATTTTATGTACTTTTTAAAGTTATTTTTCGTAATAAAAATAAACATTAAATTTTTTTAATGAAATTAAAAAAACTTGCCTATAAAGATGTCTGGGATCAATAATTTCATTGAGTTATTTCCCATGATTGTCAACGTATTCGAATGTTCTAATTCTATTCTGGTTAATTATATTTTCCCAGAAAACAGTGCATTTCAAATTCCTGGTGAAAATGTTTTTATTTTACTTTTTGTTCATTTACTATTTTCATAATACTAATGACATAAATACTACTAAAAGTTCAGTAGTAATACTACTACAATAATAACTTAATATTTAGTATATGCTTATTACGTATCAGGCTTTATTCTAAGAGTTTCATATATCAGATAATTTAATCCTCAGCAATTCTATAAGGTAGGTACAATTAATTTTCCTATTTCATATTTGCAAATATGAAAATATATACATAGCAGTATCTTACAGGTATATATTTTAGTTCCT